TTATTTCTATTCTTGCTGTAGAGGTAATGATAAATTTTGTCGTAAATACTTCGTTTAGAAATCGGTGATAGAAATCTTTTAGAAATCGTTGTTGGCGATTCTGTAGCACTGTGTGCCAATTTAAAAAATTTTGTGTTTGCAGGATATTTATTCACGTTAACGCAAATAATTCTACATTTTTTCTTTGCAGGCAGCACAGTTTTACGTATGCGAGACGACGCAGTGCATAATTCAAGCTGTACCAGTACATTTAACCGCATGGATAGTTCTCCTGAAATTATTAACTTGTTATTTCAATAATCAAAAAGTACGTTAGTCTCAAACTACTGATACAAAGTTACTTAGCACAATCTGTTTACAATATTGATGTAGTTAGCGAGCATATTATATCCGACGTATCGAATATATCGTTTACGTTTGTAGATTAAATACCTCATAAAACATTTACACACGGATTGGAATATTCTCGACACTCAAGAGGAACGAGAAATTATGAAGAGGTATGCCATAAACGGCAGATGGTACACTTTCGCATATGCCTGTAAGGGACATTGCAGCTTTGGCTAATGATTATTTTTCTTTTCTTAATCATAAACTCTTTTTCTTTAATTATAAACTGTGATAATAGATTTTAATTACAAAGAACTATTTATTTAATATTAGAAGATGATATGAATACATCTATGATATAAATAATTTTGCTCATATACAACTAAACTAACTTGCAGTATGCATTTATGTTGCTACGGTGACATTTGGGCTAACTTCGCTTTTACCGCGTATTATGGACGTTATATTTCCCCTGAACGAATCTCGTCCGACAGTATTGCCGGCACCGGCGTACTACTTCGTCGACGAGACTAAATACTTTTACTACATATTTTTCCATCTTGAATTCGGCGTTTTGGTGGCAATTGCCGGACTTGTCGCGCACGACTGCATTCTTTTAACTTTGGTCGAACATGTCTGCGCCCTTTTCGTCATTGTGGGGTATTATTTACACTACAAACCAACACATTCGACATTTTGTCCATACACAACGAAACTAACTTGCAACATGCATTTACGTTACTATGTTGACATTCGGGGCAACTGCTCTTTTACCGCGTATCATGAACGTTATATTTCCCTTGAACAAATCTCGTCCGATAATATTGCCGTTTCCGGCATACTACTTCATCGATGCGACTAAATACTTTTACTACATATATTCTCATCTTACATTGGGCAGTTTGATATGTATTGCCGGAGTCGTCGCGCACGATTGCATCTTTTTAACTTTGGTCGAACACGTCTGCGGCCTTTTCGCTATTGTGGGGTATTATTTACATTACAAACCAACACATTCGACATTTAGCAAGCCTTCATTTAGCCAATGACCTTCATTATATCAGCACAACCGAATACCAGTGTAAAAACATGATATGTACAATTATAATATATCAATAATTATAGTTTTTGTCTATGCATGCGTGAATATCAAGAATATAATTTAAAACACTCATGCGAATTGCACATAAATAATATTTCCAGATATAGGTTTGAATATCACTTGTACAAACGCAATATTACGGACAAGTGTTTGAGTAATATTTCAAATGATGTATATGTCGAAAATATTGCGTATTCCATTCAACTTCATCAAAGAACTCTACAGTGAGTAATGCAATAAATGTTTATGTATTTTCCTTCAAAAATGCTAAGCTCATTTTTGCGAGTGTATCTCTTCAATTGAAATGGATTCCAATATTTTCTTATAAACAATAATTTTTCATAACAATTGTTATGTTTGCGACAGCTTTGCTACTCTTATCGAGAAAACTTTTACTTTATCCTTCGCCATACAAATCTTGATTATTGTGATTGTCATGAGCACTAGTTTAATACAAGTGAGTTTTTTCAATATACAGGATTGTAAGATTTTAAACGCATTATTGTGTTGCACAATTAAAATTTGATTTTATTTTTCTTTTGTTCCAGCTCTCAGAAGAACTGCAGAATGATATGATAGCAGTAATAAAATTCTTTATATATATCGTAGCTCAGTTATTCCATTTACTAGTTTTCAGCTATCAGGGACAAAAATTGATAAATCATAGTCTTGAAACACATACAAAAATGTAAGAAAAATTTGTAATAAATTGATGGTAGATTAGTCCGTTATTTAGCAAGATTATTTTCCATGTGAAAAACGAAATTAGTTTAATCTTTTCCGGGTTGACTGATTTATTGTATAATGTCTGCTTACGGTATAATCAACGTTGAGTACCAGAATATTGTGATTATAATAATCAGAATTTTTGTTTAATTTAATAAACAGTTGTTGACCGAACATGTCATTCATGCTTTGATATAATAATCAAACACTTGGATGTTATAACCAGATCAATAATAATCATACTCTGACTATGGTTAAACTTAAGTTCTGTTTGAATGTCGTAATATTTATAATAATAAATAATTCCATTTTGTTCAATTAAATCCTGTTTAATGAAATAAGTTACATTAATTTAATCATAATTGTTGTTTTGTGCATGGAAATATTGACAATATTAGATTGTTCTCTGTAACCGAGCGGCATTTCTTTTGTACATAATTGTAATCTTTTAGTTATAATGGCTTATGGTACACCATACCTGTGAAGTCGCAAAGAATGCTGTTGTTCGCCATGAGAAAAAGCTCGGAAGTTGTTTCATTGTCTGCCGGAAAGATATATATATTCTGTCTAGAAAGTTTTACTTCGGTAAAGTAATTATTGCGATACATGTAATATCATTATAAGCTAATACACGCACAAATCTATACAATTTTTAAATTTTCGTATTTAGATCATGCAAACTTCGGTCTCCTACTTTACGGTAATGTCATCCTTCAGCGAGCCGTGACGAAGGACCGATAATTGTTACCACACTTTTAGTAAAATTTCTCCAATATTCCGCAGATATGACATCACAAATAGTCAAGGGATAATTTTTACAATATATGTTTTTATTGCTCAGTGTGTTACAACAATAAACGCGTTCATTTTATTATTGATATAAACAAGAAACTGAAGAACTTTTATCATACGATAAGATATTATGCTATTCTATCCTATATATACGATATTATTAATAAATGTCGTCTTCAATTTTTCCAAAAAATACGTTTTCTATAGGATTTCTAATATTTACAATAGGTACAGAAATATACTATTAATAAAGAGTATCTCTTTAACAGCATTATTACTCGCATTATTATCTTTAACTTATTATTTCTCGACTGATTCACGTCTGTGGAACTTGTCAAGCTGTAAACTAATCAGTGCAGTTATTTCCCCTTCATAATACACTAATAATTCATGCACATATGTATTTCTGCACATAGATCGTGTTTCTTTGACACGTCTACCACTTTTTTGCCTACTACTTTTTTTTGTCTTCACTTGATGGAAGCGAATCCATTGTGACACATTTAGTAAAGTACACAACGTTAACACCGAAGTGATGTTGCGACTAATAGGAAATAATCATATCGTATCAATATGCTTTATATGATTTAATGAGCCATTCACGATAATAAGATAAACAATAAGTAGGATAAACAATAAGTAGTATATTTTACAATTAATAATTTCATCGAAATATTGTATATTTTACTCTTGATGTTAAAAAGAAATAATATATATATTCCTACCTCATACATATACGTAAACACATATGATAAAATGAATAGATGTTCCACATAATTGTTTTTGTTGCAAAAACTACTCCTACTGAGGGTTATCCACGAGGGTAACGAGGCATGCGCGATAAACGCAGAAAAACGGCGTCAGATGTGAATAGTGGTTTTATGACATTATCATTTTCTGATCAATAAGTCCTCCCTCGCTGACTAGATAATATCGTTCCAGCTGTCAAGGGGGCTTACCAGCCTCTCGATATTACACTCTGTAATAAGGTTTGCGTGAAACAATATGGTAAAATCGCACGTGCACTTACATTATTCATAGCCTTTTATTGTTCGCAAACTTAGAGCAGTGTTTTCTCGGTGTCCAGAGTAAAAAAAAGAGGGGAAAGTTTCGTTATCTTTTCAGATGCAATAACGTCTTTGAATATTTTGCACGATGTGTTTCGCCGGAAAGAAAATTTTAGAACTTAGTTGCATTATTATTGATGTGAATGTAGTCATCTTGCCAGGATAGAAAGCGGTATCATGAACTATTGACTTTTTTCATGGAGAGAGTTCCGTAGGAAAAGTTCGAAATTCAAATAAGAGTGTAACGCGGAAGAGAAACAGTTTCATTAGGCAAATATGAATTCAATAAAAAAAGATGATAAACAGGATTACTACGACGTTTGTAGATTTTTTCTGTCGGTGGTCGGCCAATGGCCTTATCAGAGATCTCGTGAGAGAACAATTCGCATGAGTGTTAACATTACATGGCTAATTTCTATTCTTGCTGTACAGGTAATGTTAAATTTTGTCGTAAATACTTCTTTTAGATATCGGTGATAGATCGCCGTTGGCGATTCTGTAGCACTGTGTGCTAATTTAGAAAATTTTGTGTTTGCAGGATATTTATTCACGTTAACGCAAATAATTCTACATTTTTTCTTTCCAGGCAGCACAGTTTTACGCATGCGAGACGACGCAGTGCATAATTCAAGCTGTACCAGTACATTTAACCGCATGGATAGCTCTCCTGAAATTATTAACTTGTTATTTCAATAATCAAAAAGTACGTTAGTCTCAAACTATTGATACAAAGTTACTTAGCACAATCTGTTTACAATATTGATGTAGTTAGCGAGCATATTATATCCGACGTATCGAATATATCGTTTACGTTTGTAGATTAAATACCTCATAAAACATTTACACACGGATTGGAATATTCTCGACACTCAAGAGGAACGAGAAATTATGAAGAGGTATGCCATAAACGGCAGATGGTACACTTTCGCATACGCCTGTAAGGGACATTGCAGCTTCGGCTAAAGATTATTTTTCTTTTCTTAATCATAAATTCTTTCTCTTTAATTATAAACTGTGATAATAGACTTTAATCACAAAGAACTATCTTTAAATGTTATGAAGGTAATATAAACACATATATAATATAAACAATTTTGTTCATACACAACGAAACTAACTTGCAGCATGCATTTACGTTACTACGTTGACATTCGGGGCAACTGCTCTTTTACCGCGTATCATGGACGTTATATTTCCCCTGAACGAATCTCGTCCGATAATATTGCCGTTTCCGGCATACTATTTCATCGATGAGACTAAATACTTTTACTACATATATTCTCATCTTACATTGGGCAGTTTGATATGTATTGCCGGAGTCGTCGCGCACGATTGCATCTTTTTAACTTTGGTCGAACACGTCTGCGGCCTTTTCGCTATTGTGGGGTATTATTTACATTACAAACCAACACATTTGACATTTAGCAAACAAATGACCTTCATTATATCGGCACAGCCGAATACCAGTCTAAAAACATGATATATACAATTATAATATATCATTAATTAGTTTTTGTCTATGCATGCGTGAATATTAAGAATATAATTTAAAAAACTCATGCAAATTGCACATAAATAATACTTCCAGATATAGGTTTGAATATCACTTATACAAACGCAATATTACGGACAAGTGTCTGAGTAATATTTCAAATGATGTATATGTCGAAAATATTGCGTATTCCATTCAACTTCATCAAAGAACTCTACAGTGAGTAATGCAATAAATGTTTATGTATTTTCCTTCAATAATGCTAAGCTCATTTTTGCGAGTGTATCTCTTCAATTGAAATGGATTCCAATATTTTTTTATAAATAATAATTTTTCATAACAATTGTTATGTTTGCGACAGCTTTGCTACTCTTATCGAGAAAACTTTTACTTTATCCTTCGCCATACAAATCCTAATTATTGTGATTGTCATGAGCACTAGTTTAATACAAGTGAGTTTCTTCAATATACAGGATTGTAAGATTTAAACGCGTTATTGTGTTGCACAATTAAACTTTGATTTTATTTTTCTTTTGCTTCAGCTCTCGGAAGAACTGCAGAATGATATGATAGCAGTAATAAAATTCTTTATATATATCTTAGCTCAGTTATTCCATTTACTAGTTTTCAGCTATCAGGGACAAAAATTGATAAATCATAGTCTTGAAACACACGCAAAAATGTAAGGAAAATTGAAATTTGTAATAAATTGGTGGTAGATTAGTCCGTTATTTAGCAAGATTATTTTCCATGTGAAAAACGAAATTAGTTTAATCTTTTCCGGGTTGACTGATTTATTGTATAATGTCTGCTTACGGTATAATCAACGTTGAGTACCAGAATATTGTGATTATAATAATCAGAATTTTTGTTTAATTTAATAAACAGTTGTTGACGAACATGTCATTCATGCTTTGATATAATAATCAAATACTTGGATGTTATAACCAGATCAGTAGTAATCATCACTATGGTTAAACTTAAGTTCTGTTTGAATGCCGTAATATTTATAATAATAAATAATTCTATTTTGTTCAATTAAATCCTATTTAATGAAATAAGTTACATTAGTTTAATCATAATTGTTTTTTTGTGCATGGAAATATTGACAATATTAGATTGTTCTCTGTAACCGAGCGGCATTTCTTTTGTACATAATTGTAATCTTTTAGTTATAATGGCTTATGGTACACCATACCTGTGAAGTCGCAAAGAATGCTGTTGTTCGCCATGAGAAAAAGCTCGGAAGTTGTTTCATTGTCTGCCGGAAAGATATATATATATTGTCTAGAAAGTTTTACTTTGGTAAAGTAATTATTGCGATATATGCAACATCATTATAAGCTAATACACGCACAAATCTATACAATTTTTAAATGTTCGTATTTAGATCATGAAAACTTCGGTCTCCTACTTTACGGTAATGTCATCCTTCAGCGAGCCGTGACTGAAGACTGATAATTGTCACCACATATTTAGTAAAATTTCTCCAACATTCCACAGATATGACATCACAAACAGTATCAAGGGGTAGTTACTACAATATATGCTTATATTGCTCAGCGATTTACAGCAATAAACGCGTTCATTTTATTATTGATATAAACAAGAAAGTAAAGAATTTTTACTATCCTTAATACATACGATATTATTAATAAACATCATTTTCTATTTTTGCAAAGAAATACGTTGTTTCATATCTTTCTGCTGGGATTTCAAATATTCACAGTAGTCACAGAAATATATTTAAAATGAAGTGTGTCTTTAATTGCATTACTGTTTTTCGATTGATTCACGTCCCCTGTGTAACTTATCAAACTGTACACTGCTGAGTGTAGTTTTTTTCTCCTTCATGTCACATTAATAATTTCTGCACCTCTGTCCTTTTGCAGTTAGATTGCGTCTCTTTAAAGCGTCTACTATTTTTTTGTTTACTATATTTTTGCGTTTGCACTAGATAGAAACAAATCCATTATAACACATTTAGTACAGCAATCACATCATTATCACCAAAGTGATGTTACGATTAATATGAACTAATTGTATCGTATCAATATGCTTTGTATGATTTAATGAGTTATTCACGAGTAAACCCATAAGTAGTATATTTACACAACTAATTTAATAATTTTATCGAAATATTGTTTATTTTACCATTGACGTTAAGAAAGAAATGGTACAGATATTCCTACCTCACATATACACATACACACATATGATCAAATCAATAGATGTTCTCTATGTTTGTTTTCGTTGTAAAACTGCTCTTACCTAGGTAAGGCGTTTATCCATGAGAGTTACGAGGCATGCGCGATAAACGTAGAAAATCGGCGTTAGAAATGAGTAGTAGTTTTGTGGCATTATCATTTTTTAATCAATAAAAAATGCCTCGCTAACCAGATAATATCGTTTCAGCCGTTAAGGTCCTCACCCCTTGACGTTATACTCTGTAATAGGAGCTTGGAACAATATGGTAAAATCACACGTGCACTATATATTATTTACTGCCTTTTATTATGTTGCAAGTTTAGAGCAGCGTTTTCTCTACATCCAGAGCAAAAAAAGGGGAAAAATTTGTTATCGTTTCCAGACGGAAAAACGTCCTCGAATATTCTACTCGACGCGTTTCACGAGAGAGAAGTTTTTAAAATCACATGTTCTATTATTGATATGATGTGAATATAACCACCGTGCCAGGCAAGAAAGAGGAAGTAATATCATGAACTATTGAATAAAATTTTTCATGGAAAAAGTTCTATAGGAAAGGCTCGAAATTCAAATAACTGTGACGCGGAAGAGAAGCAATTTCTTTACGCAAGTATGAACTCAATTGGAAAAGATGACAGACAGGATTACTTCGATGTTTGTAGACTATTTTTGTCGCTGATCGGTCAATGGCTTCATCAGAGGCCTCGTGAGAGAACAGTTCGAATGAGTGTTAACATTATATGGATTATTACTGTTTTTGCCGTACAGGTAATGTTAACATTTGCTATAAGTACTATTTTTAGGAACTAGTGTATCGTTGTTGACGGTTCTGCAGCATTGTGTGCGAATTTATTAAATTTTATATTTGCAAGATTTATATTTTCTCATGTTAACTGAATAATTTTATATTTTTGCTTCTCAGATAGCGCAGCTTTATGTATGCGAGACGACGCAGTGCATAATACAAACTGTACCCTTACATTTGATCCTATGGATGGCTTTGGTGAAATTATTAACTTGTCATTTCAATAATGGAAGAGTACGTTAGTCCCACACTGCTCACATAAAATTATTTTGTTCAACCTGTGAACAATGTTGCTATAGTTAACGAGCATATTATAATCGAGGTATGGAATATATCGTTTATTCTTGTAGATTAAATATCTTATAGAACATTTACACATGGATTGGAATATTCTCGACACTCAAGAGGAACGGGAGATTATGAAGAGGTATGCCATAAACGGCAGATGGTACACTCTCGCATACGCCTGTAAGAGACATTCCGACACCGAAATGAGTATTCCTCTTTTTTAATCATAATCTCTATCCTTTTAATCATAAACTGCAATCATAAACTTTAATTACAAAGAACTATTTTTTAAATATTACGAAGATGATATAAACACATTTATAATATAAACAACTATAGTCACACGTAACGAAATTAATTTGTAGCCTTAATTTACATTAGTGCGTCCACATTCGGGGCAAGTGCGCTTTTACCGCGTATTATGGACGTTATATTTCCCTTGAATGAATCTCGTCCGATAGTATTGCCTGCTCCGGCATACTACTTCATCGACGAGGCTAAATACTTTTACTACATATTTTTCCATCTTCAGTTCGGCAGCATAGTATGTCTTGCCGGATTTATCGCTCACGATTGCGTCCTTTTAACTTTCGTCGAACACGCCTGTGGCCTTTTTGCCATTGTGGGGTATTATTTACATTACAAACCAACACATTTGACATTTAACAAATCACCTAGGTTATATCGGCACAACCGAATTCCAGTGTAAAAGCATGATATGTACAAATATAATATGTTAATAATTTTAATTCTTGATTGGGCATATGTAAATATCAAGAATATAATTTTAAAAAATGCAGATTTATATGAATTGCATATAAATACTTGCAGATATAGGTTTGAAAATCATTTATACAAACGCAATATTACGAACAAAAGCCTGATTAATCTTTCAAATGATACATATGTTGAAAATGTTGCGTTTTCCATTCAACTTCATCAAAGAGCTCTGCAGTGAGTAACATAACAACGTTTTATGTATTTTCTTTCAGAAATGCTAAGCTCACTTTTGTGAGCACAACTCTTCAATTATAATGGATTCCGATATTTTCTTATAAGCAATAATTTTTCGTAACAATCATTATGTTTGCGACAGGTTTGCCACTCTTATCGAGAAAATCTTTTCTTTGTCCTTTACCATACAAATCCTGATTATTGTGATTGTCATGAGCACTAGTTTAATACAAGTGAGTTTCTTTAATATCCAGTATAGTAAGATTCTTTGCGCGCCAACGTGTCGCACAATTTAAATTTGATTTTACTCTTCTTTTGTTTCAGATCTCGGAAAATCTGAAGAGTGATGTGACAGTAGTAGTGAAATATTTTGTATATATCGTAGGTCAGTTATTCCATTTACTAGCTCTCAGCTACCAGGGACAAAAATTGATAAATCATAGTCTTGAAACACACGCAAAAATGTAAGGAAAACTGAAACTTGTAATAAATTAAACAGGTGTGTCCGTCATTTAGCAGATTTATTTTCCACGTGGAAAAAGAAATTGGTTGAATCTATTAGAATTTAGTATACTATAACCAGAATATTTGGTGAGAGGTTTTATGTATTTTACCATTTTTTTATTATGTATTAAACCATATTTTTGTTTAAAATAATCAGATATATCTAGTTACAAAAGTTTGGATAAATTAACCGGACAAGTTTGGTTATTTAAACAAGCACTTGGATGTTATAACCAAACCATGATTGTGATTAAACTTAAACTTCGGTTGACAACCGGAATATTTTATTATAATAACCAGAAATTCTATTTTGTTTTGTTATCTTGTTTAATCTTGCTTAATCAAATATATTATGTTAACCCAACCATGGTCGTTCTTTCCGAGCATTAAAATATTATTAACAATATTAAATTGTTTTCTGTAACAGAGCGGTATTTCTTTCGAATATTATTGTAATTTTTTAGTTATAATGGATTGTGGTACAACATACCGGTGAAGTCGCAAAGGCTGCTGCTATTCGCCATGAGAAAGAGCACGGATGTTATTTCCTTGTCAGCCGGAAAGATATACATATTTTGTCTAGAAAGTTTTACTATGGTAAAGTAATTACTGACATATGCTACAACATAATAATCAATACACGCACAACTATATACAATATTTATACAATTTTTAAATGTCTATATTTAGATCATAAAAACTTCGGTCTCCTACTTTACGGTAATGTCATCCTTCAGCGAGTCGTGATTTAGGACCAGTAATTGTGACCACACATGTAGTAAAATTTCTCCAACATTCCATAGATAATATCATAAATAGTATGAATGAGTAGTTATTGGAATATATGCTTACATTGTTCAGCGAGTTATAGCAATAAACGCGCTTATTTTATTATTGATATTAACAAAAAACTAAATAACTTTCCCTACCCCATACATACGATATTATTAATAAATATAGTCTTCTATCTTTGCAAAATATGCGTTTTCGGCATCTTTCGTTAAGATTTCGAATATTCACAATAATATACTGTTAATGAAGAGTATCTCTTTAATTGCATGATTATTGTACGACTGATTCACATCTCCTGCGAAACTTCTTAGACTGTACACTGGTCAGTGCTGTTCTTCTCCCCTTTATGTTACACTAATAATTCCTGCACATGTTTCTTTCTGCAATTAGATCGCGTCTCTTTGAAGCGTCTATTACTCTTTTGCCTACTGCTTTTTTGCGCCTTCATGAGAACGACTTCATTGTGACATATTAATAAAACAATCACAACATTATCAGCAAAGTGTCGTTATGTCTAATATGCAATAATCGTATCTTATCAATATGCTTTATATAATTTAATGAGCCATTTACGGATAAACCCATAAGTTGTATATTTTCAACTGATTTAATAATTTCGTCTTAATATCGTTTATTTTACCATTGATAATAAAAAAGAAATAGTAAAGATATACCTCACATATATAAACGATCATATCAATTGACGTTTCCCTCGTATTCGTTGCAAAAACTGCTCTTATTCGCGTTTATCCACGAGGTTTACGAGGCATGCGCGATAAACACAGAAACACGACGTCAAAAGTGAGAAGTGTTTTGTGACATTATCATTTTTTGATCAGTATGTCCTCCCTCGCTAACTAGTATTGTTTCAGCCGTCAAGATGACTTACGTCGCTTCGACATTACACTCTGTAATAAGCGCTGCATGAAACAATATGGCAAAATCACACGTGCACTATACATTATTTACAGTCTATTATTGTTCGCAAGCTTAGAGCAGGGTTCCCTCGATGTTCAGAGCAAAAAAGAAGGGAAAAGTTTCGTTATCGTTTTTAAATTCAAGAACGCCCTTGAATATTCTGCTCGACGCGTTACGCGATGATAAAAGTTTTAAAATTCGCCTGCTCTATTATTGATAGGATGTTAATATAGCTATCATGCTAGCCAAGAAAGGGAAATATCATGAACTATTAATTCTCTTTTTCCATGGAGAGAGTTTTGTAGGAAAGGCTCGAAATTCAAACAACAGTGTGACGCGGGAGAGAAATAGAATCCTTAGGCCAGTATGAACTCAATTAAAAAAAATGTTGAGCAGGATTACTACGATATTTGTAGAAAGTTTCTATCGTTGATCGGCCAGTGGCCTAATCAGAGACCGCGTGAGAGAATGCTTTGCATGAGTGTTATCGTTACATGGCTTATTACTTTGCTTGCGGCCCAGGTAATGTTAACTTTCGTCATAGTACTTCGTTTGAAAATTGGTAATGGATCACTATCGGTGGTCCTGCAGCGTTCTTTGCGAATTCGACAAGTTTTACATTTGCAAGCTTTTTATTTTCTCAACGTTAATACGAAGAATTCTTCACTTTTGCTTCCCAGGCAGCGCAGTATTACGTATGCGAGACGACACAATGCAAATTTCAAACTTTACCAATGCATTTGACTTCATGGTTAATTTTCGTTAAAGTATTAACTTGTCATTTTAATAATCGAAAAGTATGTTAGTCCCAAACTACAAAGTTCTTTAGTACAACATGTTGACGATGTTGCTGTAGTTAACGAACATATTATTTCCGAAATATCGAATATATCGTTTACACTTACAGATTAAATGTCTCATAGAACAGTTACACGCAAATTGGAATATTCTCATTCAAGAGGAACGAAAAATTATGAGAAGATACACAGTGAACGGAAGATGGTGCACTTTCGCATACGCCTGTAAGAGACATTCCGGCTGCGGAATGAATATTCCTCTTTTTTAATCGTAATCTTTATCCTTATAATCATAAACTTTAATTACAAAGAACTATTTTTTAAATATTACGAAGATGATATAAACACATTTATAATATAAACAACTATAGTCACACGTAACGAAATTAATTTGTAGCCTTAATTTACATTAGTGCGTCCACATTCGGGGCAAGTGCGCTTTTACCGCGTATTATGGACGTTATATTTCCCTTGAATGAATCTCGTCCGATAGTATTGCCTGCTCCGGCATACTACTTCATCGACGAGGCTAAATACTTTTACTACATATTTTTCCATCTTCAGTTCGGCGGCATAGTATGTCTTACCGGACTTATCGCGCACGATTGCATCTTCTTAACTTACGTCGAACATGTCTGTGGCCTTTTTGCCATTGTGGGGTATTATTTACATTACAAACCAACACATTTGACATTTAACAAGCAAATCATCTAGATTATATCGACACAACCGAATTCCAATGTAAAAGCATGATATGTACAACATGTACAAATATAATATACTAATAATTTTAGTTCTTGTTTGTGCACGTGTGAATATCAAGAATATAATTTAAAAAAACTTAGATTCATGTCAATTGCATATAAATACTTGCAGATATAGGTTTGAAAATCATTTATACAAACGCAATATTACGAGCAAAAATCTGATTAATCTTTCAAATGATATATATGTTGAAAATATTGCGTTTTCCATTCAACTTCATCAAAGAGCTCTGCAGTGAGTAACGTAACAACGTTTTATGTATTTTCTTTCAGAAATGCTAAGCTCACTTTTGTGAGCACAACTCTTCAATTATAATGGATTCCGATATTTTCTTATAAGCAATAATTTTTCGTAACAATCATTATGTTTGCGACAGGTTTGCCACTCTTATCGAGGAAATCTTTTCTTTGTCCTTTACCATACAAATTCTGATTATTGTGATTGTCATGAGTACTAGTTTAATACAAGTGAGTTCCTTTAATATCTAGTATAGTAAGATTTTTTACGCGCCAACGTGTCGCACAATTTAAATTTGACTTTATTTTTCTTGTGTTTTAGATCTCGGAGGAACTGAAGAATGATGTAACAGTAGTAGTGAAATATTTTATATATATCGTAGCTCAGTTATTCCATTTACTAGTTCTCAGCTACCAGGGACAAAAATTGATAAATCATTGTCTTGAAACACACGCAAAAATGTAAGGAAAACTGAAAGTTATAATAAATTAAACAGGTGTGTACGTCATTTAGAAGATTTATTTTCCACGTGGAAAAAGAAATTGGTTGAATCAATCAGAATTTAGTGTATTATAACCAGAATATTTGGTGAGAGGTTTTATGTATCAACCATATTTTTGATTAAAATAATCAGATATATTTAGTTACAAACGTTTGGATAAAGTAACCGGACAAATTTGGTTGTTTAAGCAAGCACTTCAATATTATAACCAAACTATGATTGTGGTTAAACTTAAACTCCGGTTGACAACCGGAATATTTCATTATAATAACCAGAAAATCTATTTTGTTCTACCATCTTGTTTAATCTTGCTTAATCAAACATGTTACGTTAACCATAGTCGTCCTTTCCAAGAATGAAAATATTATTAACAATATTAAATTGTTCTCTGTAACAGAGCGGCATTTCTTTAGAACGTTATTGTAATTTTTTAGTTATAATGGATTATGGTACAATATACCGGTGAAGTCGCAAAGGCTGCTGCTATTCGTCATGAGAAAGAGCACGGATATTATTTCCTTGTCAGCTGGAAAGATATACATATTTTGTCTAGAAAGTTTTACTTTGGTAAAGTAATTACTGACATATGCTACATCATTATAAGTCAATACACGCACAATTATATACAATATCTATACAATTTTTAAATGTTCATATTTAGATCATAAAAACTTCGGTTTCCTATTTCACGGTAATGTCATCCTTCAGCGGGCCGTGACTAACGACCAATTGTGACTACATATATAGTAGAATTTCTCCAACATTCTACAGATGATATCATAAATAATATCAATGCGTAGTTATTAGAATATATGCTTACATTGTTCAGCGAGTTATAGCAATAAACGCGTTTATTTTATTGTTAATATTAATAAAAAACTAAAGGACTTTCCCTATCCCATATATATGATATTATTAATAAATGTCGTCTCTTATCTTTGCAAAATATGCGTTTTCGGCATCTTTTCTCTAGGATTTCGAATATTCATAATACTCATAGAAATATACTGTTAATGAAGAGTATCTCTTTAATTGCATGATTATTTTTCGACTGATTCACATCTCCTGCGAAATTTTTTACACTGTACATTGGTCAGTGCTGTTCTTCTCCCTTTCATGTTACACTAATAATTTCTGCACATGTTTCTTTCTGCAGTTAGATCGCGTCTCTTTGAAGCATCTATTACTCTTTTGCCTATTGCTTTTTTGCACATTCACTTGATAGAAACGAATCCATTATGACACATTTAGTAAAACAATCACAACATTATCAGCAAAGTGTCGTTATGTCTAATATGAAATAATCGTATGATATCAATATGTTTTATATGATTTAATGAGCCATTTACAGATAAACCCATGAGTAGTATATTTTACAAATGATTTAATAATTTTGCCGAAATATCGTTTATTTTACCATTGATAATAAAAAAGAAATAGTAAAGGTATACTTCACATATACACACGATCAAATCAATAGACGTTCACCACGTTTTCGTTACAAAAACTGCTCTTATTCGCGTTTACGAGGTTTACGAGGCATGCGTGATAAACGCAGAAACACGACGTCAAAAGTGAGAAGTAATTTTGTGGCATTATCATTTTCTGATCAATAAATTCTCCCTCACTAATTATATAGTATCATTCCAGCTGTCAAGGGGATTTACGAGCCTCTCGATATTACAATCTGTAAGAAGGTGCGCGTGAAACAATATGGTAAAATCACACGTGCACTTACATTATTTATAGCCTCTTATTGTTCGCAAACTTAGAGCAGTGTTCCCTCGATGTCCAGAGGAAAAAATAAGGGAAAAGTTTCGTTATCGTTTTTAGATTCAAGAACGCCCTTGAATATTCTGCTCGACGCGTTTCGCGAGGATGAATGTTTTAAAACTCGCCTGCTCTATTATTGATAGGATGTGAATATAGCCATCATGCCAAGCAAGAGAGGAAAATATCACGAACTATTAATTGTCTTTTTCCATAGAGAGAGTTTTGTAGGAAAGGCTCGAAATTCAAACAACAGTGTGACGCGAGAGAGAAACAGTTTCCTTAGGCAAGTATGAATTCAACTAAAAAAATTGTTGAGCAGGATTACTACGATATTTGTAGAAAGTTTCTGTCGTTGATCGGTCAGTGGCCTAATCAGAGTCCGCGTGAGAGAATGCTTTGCATGGGTGTTATCGTTACATGGCTTATTACTATGCTTGCGGCACAGGTAATGTTAACTTTCGTCGTAAGTACTTTGTTTGAAAATCGGTAATGGATCACTGTCGGTGGTTCTGCAACGTTCTTTGCGAATTCGACAAGTTTTGCATTTACAGGGTTTTTATTTTCTCAACGTTAATGCGAATAATTCTACACTTTTGCTTCCCAGGCAGCGCAGTTTTACGTATGCGAGACGACACAGTGCATATTTGAAACTTTATCAATACATTTAGCTACGTGGATATCTTTTGTCAAACTATTAACTTGTCATTTCAATAATCGAAAAGTAAGTTGGTCCCAAACTACAAAGTTGTTTAGTACAACATGTTGGCGACGTTGCTGTAGTTAACGAACATATTATTTCCGAAATATCGAATATATCGGTTACACTTGTAGATTAAATGTCTCATAGAACAGTTACACGCGAATTGGAATATTCTCATTCAAGAGGAACGAGAAATTATGAGAAGATACACAATAAACGGCAGATGGTACGCTTTGGCATACACATGTAAGTAACATTCCGGTTAATGAATATTTCTTTTTTCTTAATCATAAACTCTTTCTTTTTAATTATAAACTATGGTCGTAAACTTTAATCACATAAAACTATTTTCTAAATATTAGGAAGGTAATGTAAATGTATGTATAATATAAACAATTTTGATCATATGCAACAAAACTATTTCGCAGGGTGCATTTACGTTACTACGGTGGCATTCGCGGCAAGTATTCTTTCACCGCGGGTTATGGACGTTTTATTTCCTCTGAACGAATCTCGTCCGATAGTATTGCCATCTCCGGCATACTACTTCGTCGACGAGACTAAATACTATTACTACATATTTTTCCATCTTGAATTCGGCAGTTTGATATGTGTTGCCGGAATTATCGCGCACGATTGCATTTTCTTAACTTACGTTGAACACGCCTGCGCTCTTTTCGCTATTGTGGGGTAACGGTTATTTATATTACAAAACCCATACATTCGACAAGAGAGCAAATGACTTAGATTACGTCGGCATAGCCGAATATAATTGTAAAAGCCTAATATGTACAATATGTACAAATATAATATATTAATAATTTTAGTCCTCGTTCATGCATGTGAGAATATAAAAAATATAATTTATAAAAACGCAGATTCTCTCTCATACGAACTGCACTCGAATCTTTGCAGATTTAGGTTTGAACATCTTTTATACAAGCGCAATATTACGAGCAAGAGCCTAATTAATATTTCAGACGAGATATATGTCGAAAACATTGCGTTTTCCATTCAAGTTCATCAAAGAGCTCTGCAGTGAGTAATGTAATAACTTTTTGTATATTTTTTTCCAGAAATGCCTGAAAAGAAGTTGACTTTTGTAAACGTGTCTCTTTAACTATAACGAATTCCAATTTTTTATAAGCAATAATTTTTCATAACAATGGTTTGCGACAGGTTTGCCACCCTCCTCGAGAAAACTTTCTCTTCATCCTTCGCTCTACAAATCCTATTTATTGTGATCATCATGAGTACTAGTCTGATACAAGTGAGTTCCTTTAATATACAGAATTGTAAGACTTTTTACGCGCTAATGTGTTGCACAATTAAAATTTTATTTTATTTTTTGCTCCAGCTCTCGGCGGAACTGCAAGGTGATGTGATGGAATTGATAAAATACTTTGTATATCTCGTAGCTCAGATATTCCATTTACTAGTTTTCAGTTACCAGGGCCAAAAATTGATAAATCATAGTCTTGAAACACACGCGAAAATGTAAGGAAAATTGAAATTTGTAATAAATTGGAGATAGGTTCGTCCGTTATTTAATAGGTTTATTCTCTACATGGAAAAAGAAATTAGTTGAAACAATCAGAATTCAGAATATTATGACCAGAATGATTAGTGAGATATGTGCAAACTATATTTTTGTTTAAAGTAACCAAACGAGTTTGGTCATTTTGACTAAACAGAATTAAATTTAACATTTTTTACTAGAAATTTTTAAATTATTAAATATACTAATTTTTATTAAAAGTTACTTCTGAAGATGTAAGGATATGAATATTTTATCTGAAACTGAAAATTTTATAATATTGTTATGTTATAATTATATTTGGAGAAATTTATTTTATTCTACTAGGATTCAATCCGGGACTTTCGAATTGCGACTTGTTTGTGTACGCGTTGCGCCACTTATAAATTTACTGATTTATTATATTTAAATTCTGGTTGGCTAGCGAAATATTTCATAACCAAAAATTCTATTTTGTTCAACCAAATCTTGTTTGTTCAAACATATTACATTACTCAATCATATTTGTGTCAATCACTTTTAGTGCATAAAAATATTGACAATATTAGATTGTTCTTTGTAACCAAGCGGCATTTTTTTTGTATACAATTGTAATTTTTGTAGATATAATGGATTGTGGTACAACATACCCGTGAAGTCGCAAAGACTGCTATTATTCGCCATGAGAAAGAGCGCAGAAATTATTTCCTTGTCAGCCGGAAAGATATATATATTTTGTTTAGAAAGTTTTACTTTGGTAAAGTAATCACTGCGACACATGCAACATTATTATAAATTAATACACGCACAAACCTATACAATTTTTAAATTCGTATTTAGATCATGAAAACTTCGGTCTCCTACTTCACAGTAATGTCATCCTTCAATGAGCCGTGACTGAAGACTGATAATTGTCACCACACATTTAGTAAAATTTCTCCAACATTCTACAGATATGACATCACAAACAGTATCAAGGGGTAGTTACTATAACATATGCTTATACTGCTCAGTGGGTTACAACAATAAATGTGTTGATTTTATTATTAATATGAACAAGAAATTTTCCTATCCTAGACATACGATTACATTAATAAAGATATAAGACGATCGTCTCATGAACTCACTAGAGACAAACTATTTTCTGATAATTCCTGCACGTGTTTCTTTGTACAATTAAATACCGTCTCTTTGGAAGGTCTACTATTTCTTTGCCATAGACGTTGCGTTTCCACTTGAACGAATCCATTGTAACCGTTTAGTACAGCAACATTATCACCAAAGAGACTTAACGAATATGAAATAATACTATTGTCAATGTGCTTTATATGGCTCACTCATGACCCTCACGAGTGAACAGTAGTTGCTTTGTTCTTTTTAGCTGCACTACTGAACTAATGCAATAGGTCAGAGTGAGAGGAAGCATATTTGTTTCACTTTAACTTATTGCACTATTTCAATACTATCGTTCGTATTGAACGTACAGAGTATCAATCTACAGACGTTCCCCATATTTGTTTACTACAAGAACTGCTTTTCCTGCGTTTATCCGCAAATGTTACGAGACATGCGCCGTAAACATTGCGGTAGGCATGCGTAGAATCACGGTACGAGAAACAAGTAGCTTTATGGCGTTATCATTTTTTGAGCAATAAGTCATCCTCTGCGAAAACAGCTAATGTTATTTCAGCCGCCTCTACAGCTTACGAATCCCCCTCGATATTACACACTGTAGCAAGGTCCGCATGAAACAATATGATAAATTCACACGTGGGTCATATATTATTTACAGCCTGTTACTGTTCGCAAGTTTAGAATAGCGTTCTCTCGATGTCTAGAGCAAAAAAAGAGAAATAAGTTTCGGTATCGTTTTCAGATTGAAGAACGCCTTATCTTGAATATTCTGCTTGACGCAAAACAGAAAGTTTTAAAACTCACTTGCTCTATTATTGATAGAATATGAATGTAACCATTGTGCCTGGCCAGAAAGGAGAGCGATATAATGAAATATTTATTAACCTTTTTTATGGGGAGGGTTCTGTTGGGAAGACACGAAATTTACACGACAGTGTGACGCGGAAGACAAACAATTTGCTTAGGCAAGTATGAATTCAATTAAAAAAGGTGACAAACAGGATTACTACGACTTCTGTAGAAAATTTCTGTCGATGGTCGGTCAGTGGCCTTATCAGAGGTCTCGTGAGAGAATACTTTGCATGAGTGTTACAGTTACATGGTCTATTTCTATTTTGGCAGTGCAGGTAATGTTAACTTTCGTTATAAGTACTTCTTTCAGAAACCGGTGATAGATCGCTCTCGGCGATTCTGTAGAGTTGTATGCGAATTTGGAAAATTTTGTGTTTGCAAGATATTTATTCTCTCACGTTAAGCCGAATAATTCTATATTTTTGTTCCTCAGATAGCGCAGTTCTACGCATGCGAGACGACGCAGTGCATATATCAAACTTTATCAGCTTATTTGATCGTATGTGTGGCTATGGTGAAACTATTCACTTGTTACTTTAATAATCGAAAAGTATGTTACTCCTAAATACTGATACAAATTTATTTCGTACAACCTGTTGACAATATTGTTGTAATTAACGAGCATATTATATCCGGGATATCGAATATATAGATTACGTTTGTAGATTAAATATCTCATAGAACAGTTACACGCAGATTGGAATATTTTCGATATTCAAGAGGAACGGGAGATTATGAGAAGGTATACCATGAATGGCAGATGGTATTCTATGGTATACGCCTGTAAGAGACATTCCGGTTCCGGTTAAAGAGTATTTCTTTTTTAGTAATTATAATCTCTTTCTTTTTAAATATAAACAGTAATTATAACGAATTATTTTTGAGATATTACGAAGATGATATGAATCACATGTATTATATAAATAATTATATTCACACACAACAAAACCGACTTGCAGTGTGCATTTACTCTAGTACGTTGACATTCGGGATAGCTGCACTTTTGCCGCGTATCATGGATGTTATATCTCCTCTAAACAAATCTCGTCCAATAATATTGCCGTATGAGGCATATTATTTCGTCGACGAGGCTAAATACTTTTACTATATATTTTTCCATCTTGAATTCGGCGCTTTGGTATGTCTTGCCGGACTTATCGCGCACGATTGCACCTTCTTAATTTACGTCGAACACGTCTGTGGCCTTTTCGCCATTGTGGGGTAAATATTACTTACACAACAAACCAATATATTCGACATTATGCGAGCAAGTGACCGAGGTTACGTCGGCACAGCAAGTGTAAAAATGTGAAATATGTACAAATATAATATTCTAATAATTTTAGTTCTTGTTCGTGCATGTGTAAGAATATAAAAAATATAATATTTAAAAACGACGATTCATGCGAATAGTACTCGAATACTTACAGATTTAGGTTTGAACATCTTTTATACAAACACAATATTACGGACAAGAGTCTGAGCAATCCCTCAAATGAGATATATGTCGAAAAAATTGCGTTTACCATTCAACTTCACCAAAGAGCTCTGCAGTGAGTAATGCAATAATGTTTTATGTATGTTTCTTCAGAAATACTAAGCTCACTATTAGCGAGCATGTCTCTTCAATTGTAATAAATTTCGATTTCTTATAAGTAATCATTCTTCAGCTTTGCCACTCTTATCGAGAAAACTTTCTCTCAATTCTTGGCCATACAAATCATAATAACTGTGATTGTCATGAGCAGTAGTTTGATGCAAGTGAGTTCCTTCAAAATATAGGATTTTTTATATGCTTAACGTGTTGCAAATTTAAATTTAATTTTAATTTTCTTGTACTTAAGCTCTCGATAGCACTGCAGGATGATACGATAGCAGTGATAAAATACTGTTTATACATAGTAGTTCAGTTATTGCATTTACTAGCTTTCAGTTACCAGGGACAAAAATTGATAAATCATAGTCTTGAAACACACGCAAAAATGTAAGAAAAATTAAGATTTGTAATAAATAGGATATAGGTTCGTCCGATATGTAGTAGATTTATTCTGCACAAGAAAAAAGGAATTGGTTGTATCAAACAGAATTCAATACACTAGAATCAGAATGTTTGATAAGATATTGGTAAGCTGCATTTTCTGTTAATGTAACCAGATAACTAAGGTTACAAACGTTTGGATAAAGTAACCAGACATATTTTAGTCATTTTAAGTAAATAAGGGGGATTAAATTCACCATTTTTTATTAAAAATTCTATTATTTTTAAATTTGCAAGTTACTTTTGGAGGTGTGAATGTATGAATATTTTGTCTGAAATTGAAGAATTTATATAATTGTCGTGTTATAATTACATTTGAGGAAATTTGTTTTTTTCTACTGAGATTCGATCCGAGACTTTTGAATTGTTTATTTTACGCGTTGCGCCACTTTTGGAACAATTTATTGATTTATTATATAGTGTCTGCATATATAACAACGTTGCATATTAGAATATAATATTAGAATATTAGATATGTGCATCTGCATATATCAACGTTGAATATTAGAATATGTGATTATAATAATCAGAATTTTTGTTTAATTTAATCAGTTGTTAACAAAACCTGTTACGTTCATACTTCGTAGACATAACAAGCAGACACTTAGATATTATAACTGGATCAGTAGTAATTAAATTTTGACCGTAGTTATACTTAAATTCTGATTGATTATTAGAATATTTCATTATAATAACAAGAAATTCTATTTGGTTCAACCAAATCTTGTTTAGCAAAACATGTTATATTGACTCAAATATAGTTTCCGTATATAAAAATATTAGATATAAAAATATTAGAAATATTAGATCCGTATATAAGAATATTAGTAATATTAGATTGTTTTCTGGGCGGAATTTCTTTTGTACAATTGTAATCTTTTAGCTATAATGGCTCATGGTACAACATACCGGTGAAGTCGCAAAAACTGCTGTTGTTTGCTATGAAGAAGAGCACGGAAACTATTTCCTTGTCAGCCGGAAAAATATACATATTTTGTCTAGAAAACTTTACTGTGGTAAAGTAATTACTGTGACATATGCACTATTGTTATAAGTAACGGAATGTCAGTACACGCACAAACCTAAACAATTTTTAAATGTTTGTGTTTAGGTCATGAAAGCATCAGTTTCCTACTTTACGGTAATGTCATCCTTCAGCGAGCCGTGACCGAGGATCGATAATAGTCACGACAAATTTAGTAAAATTTCTCTAACATGTTTCAGATATGTCATCGCAAACAATATGAAAGGGTAGTTATTACAATATATGCTTATACTGCTTAGTGAATTATAGTAATAAACGTATTCATTTTGTTACTGATACAAAAAAGAAATTAGAGAATTTTCCCTATCCCATACACGATTTTATTAATAAATATTTAAGACTATCGTCTCATGGACTCATCAGAGACAAGTTATTTCCTAATAACTGCTGCATGTGTTCCTTTCTACAGTTCGATCGCGTTTTTATGAAATGTCTGCTACTTCGTTGTAATAGACGTTATATCTTCACTTGAACTCATTCATTGTAATATGTTTAGTAACGTGTCACATTATCACTAAAGAGACGTTACAACTAATATGAAATAATCGTATTATGAATATGCTTTATATGACTCACTTATAGATAAACAGCAATAAGTAGCATATTTTAAGTATCTGATTTAACAATTTTATTGGCATATTGTTTATTTTATCATTGATATTAAAAAAAAAAAAGAAAATATTCCTACCTTACAAATGCACATACACACATATGATCAAATCTACAGACGTTCTCCATATATCCCCCATGTTTACTGCTTTTTCTGCGTTTATCCGCAAATGTTACGAGACATGCGCGGTAAACATTGCGGTAAGCGTGCGTAGAAACACGGCACGAGAAACAAGTAGCTTTGTGACATTATCATTTGCTGATCAATAAGTCCTCCTCTGCGAAAATAGCTAATATTATTTCAGCCGCCTCTACAATTTACGAATCCTCCTCGACATTACACACTGTAATAAGGTCCGCATGAAACAATATGATAAATTCATATGTGTGTCATACATTATTTACAGCCTGTTACTGTTCGCAAGCTTACAATAGCGTTCTCTTGATGTCTAGAGCAAAAAAAGGAGGAAAAAGTTTCAGAATCGTTTTCAGATGGAAGAAGCCCTATCTTGAATATTCTGCTTGATGCAAAACAGAAAGTTTTAAAACCTTACCTGCTCTATTATTGATAGGATATGAATGTAACCATTGTGCCAAGCCAGAAAGGAGAGCGATATCATGAAATATTTATTAACCTTTTTTATGGGGAGAGTTCTGTTGGAAAGGCTCGAAATTCACACGACAGTGTGACGCGGAAGACAAACAATTTCCTTAGGCAAATATGAATTCAATTAAAAAAAGTGACAAACAGGATTACTACGACATGTGTAGAAAATTTCTGTCGATGGTCGGCCAGTGGCCTTATTAGAGGCCTCGTGAGAGAATACTTTGCATGAGTGTTGCACTTACATGGCTTCTTTCTATTTTTGTTGTACAGGTAATGCTAACTTTTGTCATAAGTACTTCTTTTAGAAACCGGTGATGGATCACCGTTGGCGATTCTGTAGCATTGTGTGCAAGTTTGGAAAAGTTTGTGTTTGTAAGATATTTATTCTCTCACGTTAACGGGAATAACTCTATATTTTTACTTCCCAGCTAGCGCAATTTTGCGTATGCGAGTCAACGCAGTGCATATTTCAAAATTTATCAATTCATTTGACCGCATGGATGGCTATGGTGAAACTATTAACTTGTCATTTCAATAATGGAAAAGTATGTTACTCCTAAAATATTGATACAAAGTTATTTAGTACAATCTGTTAACAATGTTGCTGCACAGTTAACGAGCATATTATATCCGAGGTATCGAATATATCGTTTACGTTTGTAGATTAAATATCTCATAGAACAGTTGCATGCGGACTGGAATATTCTCGACACTCAAGAGGAACGGGAGATTATGAAGAGGTATGCCTTGAACGGCAGATGGTACACTTTCGCATACGCCGGTAAGAGACATTCCAGTTCAAGAGTATTTCTCTTTACGTGATCCTAATCTCTTTTTTTTTTAATCATTAACTGTAATCATAATGAATTATTTTTGAGATATTATGAAGATGATATAATCACATGTATTATATAAATAATTATATTTACACACAACGAAACCGACTTGCAGTGTGCATTTACTCTAGTACGTTGACATTCGGGACATCGGCGCTTTTACCGCGTATCATGGATGTTATATCTCCCCTGAACGAATCTCGTCCGATAATATTGCCGGTTCCGGCATATTACTTCGTCGACGAAGCTAAATACTTTTACTACATATTTTTCCATCTTCAGTTCGGCGGTGTGGTATGTCTTGCCGGACTTATCGCGCACGATTGCATCTTCTTAACTTATGTCGAACACGTCTGCGGCCTTTTCGCCATTGTGGGGTAAGTATTACTTATACAACAAACCAATACATTCAACATTTTGCGAGCAAATGATCGAGGTTACACCGGCACAGCATCGGCAAGTGTAAAAATGTGAAATATGTACAAATATAATATTTTAATAATTTTAGTTCTTGTTCGTGCATGTGTAAGAATATAAAAAATGTAATATTTAAAAATGCCAATTCATGCAAATAGCACTTGAATACTTACAGATTTAGGTTTGAACATCTTTTATACAAACACAATATTGCGGACAAGAGTCTGAGCAATCCCTCAAATGAGATATATGTCGAAAAAATTGCGTTTACCATTCAACTTCACCAAAGAGCTCTGCAGTGAGTAATGCAATAATATTTTATGTATTTTCCTTCAGAAATGCTAAACTCACTTTTTTCTCTTCAACTGTAATGAATTTCGACTTCTTATAAAAAACAATTTTTTATAACAACCGTTATGTTTGTGACAGCTTTGCCACTATTATCGAGAAAACTTTTTCTTCATCCTTAGCCCTACAAATCATGATAATTGTGATTAACATGAGCAGTACTTTGATACAAGTGAGTTTCTTTAAAATACAGGATTTTTTGTACGCTTGACGAGTTGCACAATTTAAATTTAATTTAATTTTTCTTGTACTTAAGCTCTCGGCCGAACTGCAAGGTGATATAGTAGCAGTGGTGAAATACTTTGTATACATAATATCTCAGTTATTCCATTTACTGGCTTTCAGTTACCAGGGACAAAAATTGATAAATCATAGTCTTGAGACACACGCAAAAATGTAAGGAAAATTAAAATGTATAATAAATTGGAGATAGGTCCGTCCGACATGTAGCAGATTTATTCTTCACAAGGAAAAAGAAATTGAATGAATCAATCAGAATTCAATACATTACAATCAAAATTTTTGGTGAGATATGCATGAATTATATTTTTGGTTAAAGTAACCAGATAAATTTGAGACGTTTAGACAAAATAACCAGACAAGTTTTGGTCATTACGCGTTGCGCCACTTTTCGAATTGACTGATTTATTGTATAATATTTGCGTATAAACAAAACTGAATACTAAAATATATGATTACAATAACCAGAATTTCTGTTTAATTCAACAGTTGAAATTCAATCAGGTAAAACATGTCGCGTTTATGCTTTGTAAACATAAAAAGTAGACATTTGGATGTCATAATTGAATCAGTAGTAATTAAACTATGACCGTAGTTAGACTTAAATTCTAATTGACTATTGGAATATTTCATTATAATAATAAGAAATTCTATTTGGTTCAACCAAATCTTGTTTAGTAAAACATGTTATATTGACCCAAATATAGTTTTCGTACATAAAAATATCATTAACATTATCAGATTGTTCCCTGAGCGGCATATCTTCTGTATATAATTGTAATCTTTTAGTTATAATGGTTCGTGGTACAACATACCCGTGAAGTCGCAAAGACTGCTGTTATTCGCCATGAGAAAGAGTACAGAAATTATTTACTTGTCGGCCGGAAAGATATACATATTTTGTCTAGAAAGTTTCACTCTGGTAAAGTAACTGTTGTGACATATGCGACATTATAAGTCAATACATGCACAAACCTATATAATTTTTAAATGTTCATGTTTAGGTCATGAAAACATCAGTTTCCTACTTTACGGTAATGTCATCCTTCAGCGAGCCGTGACCAAGGATTAATAATTATTACGACAGATTTAATAAAATTTCTCTAACATGCCTCAGATATGACATAACGAACAGTATCAAGGGGTAGTTATTATAACATATGCTTATACTGCTTAGCGAATTATAGCAATATATATAAACGTGTTCATTTTATTAACGATATAAACAAGTAATTAAAGAAGTTTCCCCACACACGATTTTATTAATAAGCGTTGTCTGTTTCTGCAAAGAAATCTTCTGTATGTTTTCCCAACTTTCGGGAATATTTCTAGTATTGACAACAGACGCACTATTAATGGTATCTCTTTAACTGGCATTACTATTTTCGATCGATTTACGTCCCCTCCGGATAGAGCGCTTCTTTTCTTTTAACGTTGTGTCCCCACTGGATGCCAAAGAGTCCATAGTAACACGTTTAGCAAAGCAATCCCAACTTTGTCACGTGACGTTATGAGAAATATGGAATAATTATATCACCAATATACTTTATATTATTCAGGTGATTAGAGTACTGCAAAATTATCAAAAAATTTTCAATCTTGTTCACTTGAATTTGAAGAATTCAAAGTCTCTAGAATGAAGTGCAAAAAGTATGGAACATAAATCCAGCATTTCTTCGGTTATCCCCGAGAGTTCTTGGCATTTGTGGTAATCGCAAAAATACGGTGTCAATGGGAAGTATTAGTTTGGCGGCATTATCATTTTCTGATCAATACTCCTTCCCTCGCGAAAATAGCTAATGTCAGTCTACGACGACTTACGAATCCCTCGACATTACACTCGGTAGTAAGTTTTGCATGAAACAATATAGTAAATTCACACGTGAGCTACTTATTATTTACAGTTCTGTTATTATTTGCAACACACGAGTTGTGTTTTCTCGATGCTCAGAGCAAAGAAAAAGGAAAAATGTTTCCAAATAGTAGTTAGACAAAAAAACAAGTTATCTTAACGACACGATTCGTAAACGAAGAAGTTTTAAAACTTACCTACTTTATTATTCATAATTTGTGAATGTAGTCAACATGATGCCGTGCCAGACAAAGAAAAAAAGTAGCATTATAAAATATTTATTAACTGTAATTATAATGAATTATTTTTGAGATATTAGGAAGATGATATAATCATATATATAATATAAATAATTATATTCACACACAACGAAACTGACTTGCAGTGTGCATTTACTCTAATTACGTTGACATTCGGGACAACTGCGCTTTTGCCGCGTATCATGGATGTTATATCCATGATATATATATATATATATATATATATATATGTGTTAAGTTATTGTAAAAATGTAAAGTTATTCGGCATTAACGTAAGAGAATAAAAATCTTGCAAGTGTAAAATTTTACAAATTCGCACACAATGCTGTAGAACCGTACATGTATATATATATATATATATATACATTCTGCAGCATTGTGTGCGAATTTGTAAAATTTTACACTTGCAAGATTTTTATTCTCTCATGTTAATGCCGAATAACTTTACATTTTTGTTTCTCAGATAGTGCACTTTTGCGAATGCGAGACGACGCAGTGCATTTTACAAACTGTACCCTTGCATATGATCGCATGGTTAGCTCTGGTGAAATTATTAACTTGTAGATTGAGTACCTCATAGAACATCTACACGCGGATTGGAATATTCTCGACACTGAAGAGGAATGGGCGATTATGAGGAGGTATGCTATGGATGGCAGATGGTACGCTTTGTTATACGCCTGTAAGAGAAATTTCTGTTCCAGTTAATGAGTATCTTTCTTTTTGTAATCATAAAAATTATTTTTGAGATATTACGAAAATAATATAAACACGTATAATATATACAATTATATTCCGTGAAACTGACTTGCAGTGCTCGTTTACGTTAGTGCGTTTTTGTTTGTCGTCATTGTCATCAAGAACTCTGCGGCCAGAGTCGCAGCTCTCCCGCGAGCCACGCTCGCTATTACTCCGCTGCCAGGGACGCAGCATATACACGCGAGCCTCGCTCGCATTTACGGTCAAGTACGCTTTTACCGTGTATCTTAGACGCTATATTTCCCCTGAACGAATCTCGTCCAACAGTATTGCCGTGTCCGACATACTACTCCATCGACCAGACTAAATACTTTTACTACATATTTTTCCATCTTCAATTCGGTGCTATGATATGTCTTCCCGGAATCGTCGCACATGACTGCGTCTTCTTAACTTACGTCGAACACGTTTGCGGCCTTTTCGCCATTCTAGGGTAACTATTATTTACGATACGAATTAATATAATCGACATTTTATGAACAAATGATCTATGCTACGTCAGCATGATCAAATACCAGTGTAAAATTTTAGTATGATGTGTACAATATGTACAAATATAATATATTAATAATTTTAGTTCTTATCCGTTGTGAATATCAAAAATGTAATTTTTAAAAATGCAAATTCATGCGCTTTGCACACGAATACTTGCAGATTTAAGTTTGAACACCATTTATACAAACGTAATATTATAAACAAGTGTCTGATTGATATTTCGGATTATATGTATGTGAGAAATATTACATTTTCCATTCAAGCTCATCAAAGGACTCTGCAGTGAGTAATACAATAACATTTTACGTATTTTCCTTTATAAATATGAAGCTCACTTCTGACAAGCGCGCCTCTTCAAACCTGATGGATTTCGACTTCTTATAAGAAATAATTTTTCATGACTACTGTTGTGTTTACGACAGGTTTGCCACCGTTCTCGAGCGCACTTTCTCATCATCCTTCGCCATACAACTCCTGATCATTGTAATTGCAATGAGCTGTAGTTTGATACAAGTAAGTTCTTTCGAAATACAGGATTATAAAATTTTTTACGCGCTAATGTGTTACAGAATTAAAATGTGATTTTATTTTTTTCGTGTTCAAGATCTCGGCGGAAATAGGCGGCGATATAATGGTAGTGTTTAGTTTTTGTACAAACTGTATCTAAAAACCAGCTGTTCTTTCGGGCCGTCACAGTAGTCCAACCTCTTAATGAGTCACTTATGGATGAACCGCAGTAATTTATTTTACCATTGATATTCACTGATTTTACTCATATTTATTTTATCATTAACAGTGAAATGAAAATGAAGTCTTCCTACTTCACATATACACACCACATATACACATCACACACACATGATTAGATCAATAACCGTTCCCCGCATTTGTTTATTCGTTACTGCGAGCATTGCACTTAATGCAATGCCCCGAGAGTTCCTAGAATTCCGCGAAAATACGCCGCAACTGTGAAAATACACCGTCAATGAGAAGTAGTGATTTGTCGGCATTATCATTTCCTGATCAATACGCTCTCCCTCGCGAAATTAGATGGTGTCACTTCAGCCGACCCTACGACGAACTCCTCGACATTACACTCGGTAGTAAGTTCCGCATGAAATAGTACGGTAAATTCACACGTGAGCTATACATTATTTATAGTTCTGTTATTATCCCGCACTCACGAGCTGCGTTTTTTCGATGCTCGAGAGCGAAGAAGAAGGAGTAACGTTTCGATACAGTTTTTAGACGGAAAAAATATCTGTCTTGACCATTCTGATTGCGATTCGTAAGCGAGGAAGTTTTAAAGATCGCTTACTTTATTATTCATAATTTGTAAATATAATCGACATAACGCCGTGCCAGACGAAGAAGGAGAGTGGCATTATAAAATATTTATTAACTTTTTACGGCGAGCGCTCCGCAGGGAAGGCTCGAAATTCAAATGACAGTGTAACGTGGAAGAAAAAAAGTTTCCTTAGCAAGAATGGGTTCATTTCAAAAGAATGACATACAGGATTACTACGATATTACTAAAAAGTTTTTGTTGCTGAGCGGACAGTGGCCTAATCAAAAACCTCGCGATAAACTATTCCGCACGAGTGTTATCTTTACGTGGATTATTACTATCCTTTCCGTACAGGTAATGTTAATTTTCGCAATTAGAACTTCTTTTAGAAACCGGTGGTGAATCGCTGTCAACGGTTCTGCAGCATTGTGTGTAAATTTGTAAAATTTTATATTTGCAAGACTTTAATTCTCTCACGTTAATGTGAATAACTTTACATTTTTGTTTCTCAGTTAGCGCAAATTTTCGTGGTATGCGAGACGTCGCAGTGTATCTTAGAAACTATGCCTATACATATGACCACATTGATAGGTTTGGTGAAATTATTAACTTGCCATTTCAATAATGGAAAAGTACGTTAGTCCCACACTACTGATAAAATGTTATTTAGTACAATCTGTTAACGATGTTGCTGTAGTTAACGAGCATATGATATCCGAGATATCGAATATATCAATTACGTTTGTAGATTGAGTACCTCATAAAATATTTACATGCGAATTGGGATATTCCCGACACTGAAGAGGAATTGGAGATTATGAGGAGATATGCCATGAATGGCAGATGGTACACTTTGGTATACACCAGTAAGAGAAATTTCGGTTCCGGTTAATGAGTATTTTCCACTTGTGATCATAAAAAACTATTTTTTTGAGATATTATACTTTAAGTTTCTTGGAGTGAGATTTCACTCCAAAGTAAATTGCGCCATTCGAAGTTAGAGTGAAAACTTCACTCCAAACGAGTGACAATTCACTCCAAATGAGTGAAAATACTGCTCGCCTGGAGTGAGTTCTCACTCATTTGGAGTGAAGTTCTCGCTCTAACTTCGATTGGCGCAATTTTCATTACCTTGGAGTGAAGTCTCACTCCGAGAAATTTAGAGTGTACGAAAATGATATAAACATGTGTAATATAAACAATTATATATAACGAAACTGACTTGCAGCGTACATTTATATTTGTGCGTGTATGTTTGGGTCAACTACGCTTTTACCGCGTGTTATGGACGCTATTATTCCCCTGAACGAATCTCGTCCGATAGTATTGCAGTGTCCGGCATACTACTTCGTCGACGAAGCTAAATACTTTTACTACATATTTTTCCATCTTCAGTGCGGCGCCATAGTAGGTCTTACCGGATTTATCGCGCACGATTGCATTTTTTTTATTTCCGTCGAACACGTCTGCGGCCTCTTCGCCGTTCTAGGGTAATTATTATTTACACTACAAACTAATATAATCGACATTTAGCGAGAAAATAATTTAAGTTACGTCAGCACAGCCATGTGCCAGTAAAATTTTAATATGATGTGTACAATATGTATAAATATAATATATTAATAATTTTAGTTCTTGTCGGTATGAATATCAAAGATATAATTTTTATAAATACAAATTTATGCGCTTTGTACACAAATATTTGCAGGTATAGGTTTGAACACTTTTTATACAAACGTAATATGACAAACAAGTGCCTGATTGATCCTTCGGACTTGTATGACAAAAATATTGCATTTTCCATTCAAGCTCATCAAAGAGCTTTGCAGTGAGTAATGCACACAATAATATTTTACATAGTTTTCTTTATAAATACTAAGCTCACTTTTAACAAGTGCTCTCTTCTACTGATGGATTTCGACTTCTTATAAACGATAATTTTTCATGACTACCGTTATGTTTACGACAGGTTTGTCACTTTTATCGAGGACACTTTCTCTTCATTCTTCGCCGTACAACTCCTGATCATTGTAATTGCAATGAGCTGTAGTTTGATACAAGTAAGTTCTTTCGAAATACAGGATTATAAAATTTATTACGCGTTAATGTGTTACAGAACTAAAATGTGATTTTATTTTTTTCGTGTTCAAGATCTCGGAGGAAACAGACGGCGATATAATAGAGTTGGCGAAATACATTATATTTATCATTGCACAGTTACTCCATTTACTTATTTTCAGCTTCCAGGGACAAAAATTGATAAATCATAGTATCGAAATGCACAGAAAAATGTGAGGAAAATTAAAATTCGAAATAAATTGGTTATAGGTTCGTCCGATATATAGAAGAATTATTTTTCATACGGAAAAAAAATTGGTTGAATCAATCAGAATTTGGGATACATCAACCAAAATATTTGGTGAGATATGTACGAATTATATTTTTAGTTTAATTAATTAAACAAATTTTTTTCAAGCATTTGAATAAAGTAATCACACAAATTTTGTCATTTTAACTAAACAGGATTACATTCAACATTTCTTACTAGATATTCCACTATTTTTTTTAATTGAAAGTTTTTCTGAATGTGTAAGTGTATGAAAATTTCGCTTGAAATCGAACTATTTATAATTGTCATGTTACAATTACATTTATTTTATATAATTGGTATATTATAATTATATGTGAAAAAATTTACTTTTACTTTAGTGGAATTCGATTAAGACTCTTCGGATTGCGACTTGCTTGTACACGCCCTGCGATGCTTTTCAAATTGACTGTTTTCTTGTACATTTTGTGTACTTACGACGTAACCAGTTTTGAATATCATAATATATATATTATAATAACTAGAATTTCTGTTTAGTTTAACCAAAAGTTGTTGACCACACATGTCACGTTCATCCATTTGTGGGCGTAACAAACACTTAGATGTTATAATTGGATCAGCAGTAATCAAATTTTCATTCTCTTAGATCTAAATGTTCTGGTTAGCTACCAGAATATTTCATTGTAATGACCAGAAATTCTGTTTTGTTCAACCAAATCTTGTTTAATCAAACATGTCACGTTAAGTCAACCGTAGTTATTTTTTCCGTGCATAGAAATATTATTGATACTATTAGATTATTTTCTGTAACTCGAGCGACATTTTTTTGGTACATAATAGTAATTTTATAGTTATAATGGCTTATGGTACAACATACCCGTCAGGTCGCAAAAACTGCTATTATTCGTCCTGAGAAAGAGTACGAAGGTTGTTTCCTTGTCCGCCGGAAAGATATATATATTTTCTCTAGAAAGTTTTACTTCGGTAAATAATTACTGCGACACATGCAACAGCATCATAAGTAAGGGAATACAAATACACGCACAAACTTATACAATTTTTAAATTTTCGTAATTTAGATCATAAAAACTTCGGTCTCCTACTTTACGGTACTGCAATCCACCAACGAGCCGTGACTGAGGACCGATAATTATCACACGTTTAGTAAAATTTTTTCATCGTTTCACCGAAATGACATCAGAAACAGTAACAATGGGTAATTACTCGATTATATGCCTACACTATTTAGCGAGTTGCAGCAATAAAGACATTTATTTTATTATTGATATAAACAAGAAATTAAAAAATTTTCCCTACCCTACACTTACGATTTCATTAATTAACACCGTCTTTTGTTTCTGCAGAAATATGCGCTTTTCGCATCTTTTTGCGATTTGATTTGATGTTTCGAATATTCACAGTAGATGTAGAAACACAATGTTTATCAAGAGTATCTCTTTAACTAGTATTATTATTTTTCGATCGATTTATTTCCTTTCCGGAACTTGTAAAGCTGGATAAAGCGGTTTTTTTCTTTTCATGTTGCGTTCCCACTGAATGCCAAAAAGTCCATAGTAACACGTTTAGCAAAGCAATTTCAACATTATTACAAAGTGACTTGTTACAAATGTGGAATAATCGTATGTTCAATAGGTTTTGTATGATTTAATGAATCACTCACGGATGAACAGCAATAAGTAGTTTAATTTATCTATGATATTCATTAATTTTATCCAGATATTGTTATATTTTTCTACTAATATTGAAAAGAAAATGGAATCTCTCTATCTCACATATACACACAAAAACACATGATCAAGTCAATAATCGTTCCACGTGTTTGCTTCTCGTTTCTGTATAAACTGCACTTTCTGCGTTTATCTCCAAGGGTTCCTGGCATGCGTGGTAAACACGAAAATACGCCGTCAATGGGAAGTAATAGTTTAGCGATATTATCATTTTCTGATCTATAAGTCCACCCTCGCGCGACTAACTGTTTCAGCCGTCAAGAGGCGAACTCTTTGACGTTACACTCTGTAGTAAGTTCTGCATGAAACAATATACAACTTCACAGGTGAGCTATACATTATTTATAGTCTGTTATTTTTCGTAAACCTAGAGTAGCGTCCTCTCCGTGTCTAAAGTAAAATAGAGAGAAAAAGTTTTGTTATCATTTTCAGATGGAAGAAAGCCCTATCTTGAATATTCTGCTGGACGCGTTTTGCGAGAAAGAAAGTTTTAAAACTTGCCTGCTCTATTATTGATAGGGTGTGAATGTAGCTATTATGTCATGCAAGAAAGGGGAGCGGAATTATAAAATATTTATGAACATTTTTCATGAGGTGAGTTCCATAGAAAAGGTCCGAAATTCAAATGATCGTGTGACGCGGAAGAGAAAAAGTTTCCTTAGCAAATATGGATTCAATTCAACAGCATGACAAACAGAATTACTACAATGTTTATGAAAAGTGTTTACTGCTGTGCGGACAATGGCCTTATCAGAAACCTCGCGAGAGATTGCTCTACATGAGTGTTATCCTTACGTGGATTCTTACTGTTTTTGTCGTACAGGTAGTGTTAACTTCCATCATAAGTACTTCTTTTAGAAATTGGTGATAAATGATTGTTTGGAATTCTGCAGCATTGTGTATGAATTTGGAGAATTTTATATTTGCGAGATTTTTATTCTCCCGCATTAATACGAGCAAGTCTACATTTTTGTTTTTCAGATAGCGCAGTTTTTCGTATGCGAGACGTTGGATTGCACGTTGCAAACTTTGCCATCCCATATGGTCCTATGGATAGTTATAGTGAAACTATTAACTTGTTATTTCAATAATCAAAAAGTACGTAACTCTTAAAATACTGATACAATGTTATTTATTACGTCTTAGTAACGATTTGCCGTAGTTGACTAGAATATTATATCCCAGGTATCGTATATATCAGTAATATTTGTAGATTAAATATCTCATTGAACAATTACATGCGGATTGGAATATTCTCGAAACTGAAGAAGAGTGGGAGATTATGAGGAGGTATGCCATGGATGGCAGATGGTACGCTTTGCTATACGTCTGTAAGAGATATTCTAGTTCCTGTTGATAAGAATCTTTCTTTTATAATTACAAAACATTATTTTTGAAACTTCACAAAGATGATATAAATACAGGTATAATGTATATAATTATATTCAGCGAAGTTGATTTGTAGTGTACGCTTACATTGGTATGTCTATATTCGCGTCATCCGCGCTTTTACCCCGTATCTTGGACGCTATGTTTCCCCTGAACGAGACCCGTCCGTTAGTAATGCCGTGTCCGGCATACTACTTTGTCGACGAGACTAAATACTTTTATTACAAATATTTCCATCTTCAAATTGGCGGCATGGTATGTGTAAGCGGGCTTGTCGCACATGATTGCACCTTCTTAACTTACGTCCAACACGCCTGTGGCCTTTTCGCCGTTGTGGGGTAATTATTATTTACTTTATAAACCAATACATTCGACATTTAGCGAGCAAATGACCATCTGCATAGTCGAATACAAATGAAAATATATAATATGCACAAATTTATCCATGACAATATACATATTAGTATGCATAACATACATGTACGTATATAGCATATTAATAATTTCAATTCATGTTAGAACATATGTGAATGTCAGAAATGTAATTTTTCAAAACACAGATTCATGCACATTGTATACGATTACTTGCAGATTTAAGTTCGAACACCTATTATATAAACGTAATGGTACGAAGAAATTTCTGATTGATACTTCGGATGACGTGTACGTCAAAAATATTGCATTTTCCATACAAGCTCATCAAAGAACTCTGCGGTGAGTAATAACATCTTACGTGTTATCCTTTATAAATGCTAAACTTACTTTTAAGTGCGTCTATTCACCTGATGGATTTCGATTTCTTATAAGCCACAATTTTTCGTGACTATTGTTATATTTACAACAGATTTGTTACCCTTGTCGAGGACACATTCTCTTCATCCTTCGCCATACAATTTCTGATAATCGTAATTGCAATGAGCTGTAGTTTGATACAAGTAAGTTCTTTCGATATAAAGGATTATAATGTTTTTTTACACGCTAATATGTTGTAGAATAAAAATATTATTTTATATTTCTTATGTTCAAGCTCTCGGTGGAAATGCAAGGTGACGTGATGGAATTGATAAGATACTTTTTATATTTCGTAGGTCAGTTATTCCATTTAGTCATTTTAAGCTTGCAGGGACAAAGATTGACAGATCATAGTTTTGAAACACATGCAAAAATGTAAGGAAAATTAAGATTTGTAATAAATTAGAGATAGACATTTTCGTTATTTAGCAGATTTATACTCCATAAAATATTCTCCGGAAAAAGAAATTGATTGCGACAATCAGTATTCAATACACTAAAACCAGAATGTTTAATTACATATGTACGAATTATAATTTTGATTAAAGTAACCAGATAAATTTGCTTACAAATGCTTAAGTGAAGTAACTAGAAAATTTTGGTGATTTTAATTAAACAGAATTAAATTCGACATTTCATACTAGAAATATTATTATTTTTTAAATTAAAAGTAACATGTGAATTTAAATATATGAATATTTTTTCTGAAATTGAAGATTTTATGATTGTCATATTATAATTATATTCGGTGAAATTCATTTTATCCTACTAGGATTTGATCCGAGATTTTCAAATTGCGACGTTTATTTACGCGTTGCGTCACTTTTCGAATTGACTGACTTATTGTGTAATATTTGTGTATAATCAGCATTGAATACTAGAATTATAATATGATTATATATAATAATATAATTATATTTAATTATATATAATAATTAGATATAATAATTTAAATAAAGAAAATATATATATATATATATATATATATAATAATTATATAATAATATAATTATATATAATAATTATATAATAATTAGAATATATAATAATATATAATTATAATATAATTATATATAATAATATAATTATAATAACCCGAATATCTGTTTAATTTAATATGTAATTTTTGGCCAAATATGTCACGTTCATTCATGCTATGTAGACATAACACGCAGACACGTGAGTGTTATAATCGGATCAATAGTAACCAAACTCTGACTGTGGTTAGACTTAAATTCTGGTTGACTATCGGAATATTTTATTATAGTAACCAGAAATTCTATTTTTTTAACCAAATCTTGTTTAATCAAACACGATAAACGATCTCAACCATATTTGTTCTTTTCATGCATAAAAATATTTACAATATTAGATTGTTCTCTACCTAGTGGTATTTTTGTATAAAATTGTAATTTTTTTAGTTATAATGGATTGTGGTACAACATACCCGTAAAGTCGCAAAAACTACTGTTATTCGCCATGACAAAGAGCACGGAATTTATTTTCTTGTCAGCCGGAAAGATATACATACTTTGTTTAGAAAATTTTACATTGGTAAAGTAATTAATGTAATACATTGTAACATTATTATAAATTAATACACGCACAAACCTATATAATTTTTAAATATTTGTATTTAGATCATGAAAACTTCGGTCTCCTATTTTACGGTAATGTCATCCTTCAGCGAGCCGTGATCGAAGACCAATCATTGTCATTACACGCGTAGTAAAATTTCTCCATTATTTCACCGAAATGACATCACAAATAGTATCAAATAATTATTCCAAGATATGTTTACACTGTTTAGCGAGCAATAAAGACACTTTTTTTTTATTACTGAGATAAACAAGTATTACAAAAAATTTGCCTTACTTTACACATACGATTTCATTAATAAACACCTTATGTTTCTGTAAAAAAAAAGGGCATTCCGCATATTTTCGCGATTGTTTCGAATATTCATAATAGAAACGCAGAAACACAATGTCAAGGGTATCTCTTTAACTGGCATTATTACTTTTAGATTGATTCACTTCCCCTCCAGAATTTGTTTAACTGGACTTCCAACAGAGCGGTTCTTTTTTTTCGCGTTGCGTCCTCACTGCATGCAAAAGAGTCCATATTAATACGTTTGGCAAAGCAATCTCAACATTATTACAAAGTGACTTATTACGAATGTAGAATAATCAATATATATGTTCAATATGTTATGTATGATTTAATTAATTACTCACGGATGAACAGCAATAAGTAGTTTAATTTATCTTTGATATTCATTAATTTTATCCAGATATCGTTTATTTTTTCACTAATATTGAAAAGAAAGTGGAATCCTCCTATCTCATGTATACACACAAAGAACACATGATCAAGTCAATAACAAATTGCAATAACGAATTGCAAGATTTTTTATTTCTAACGGTTTTTAATTTCTAATCTGTAGCATTAACATTTCACTAAATTTAAATATAATTTTATTTTTTTTGCGTTCAAGGTCTCAATAGAACTAAACGATGATATCACGGAGGTGATGAGATACATTACAAATAAGACAATGCCACTACGCGCACAAACTTATGCAATTTTTAAACTTTTGTACTTAAATCATAAAAACTTCAATTTCCTACTTTACGATAATGTCATCCTTCAGCGAGTCATAACTGATGACCGATAATTCACCAATTAATAAAATATCACCAACGTTCCATAGAATATGACATCACAAATAGTACCAAAGGACAGTTATTGCAACATATACGTGTTACTGTTTAACGAGTTAAAACAATAAATACGTTTATTTTACTAATCACATGAACAAGAAATAAAAAAATATTTTTCCTGCTCCACACATTAATAAACACCTGTTTTTGTTTCTGTAAAAATTGCGCTTCCCGCATCTTTTTGTGAGTATTCCGAATATTCATGATGAACGCAAAAACGCATTTTGAATCAAGAATATTTCTTTCAATCAAGAGTATTATATATATATATATATATATATATATATATATATATATATATATATATATATATATATATATATATAAAAGAATGATTTTAAACCTTTTATTCTCCCTCTAAAAATATAAAATTCTGAGAAAATTGTAAGATAATTTTTCATTTTAAAACTTCGTCTGAGGCTTATTTTTTAAGTTGTTAGTAAAAATAGTTTGTTTCTCACGAATCGAATACAAGAGGTAGACAAAATGATGCAACTTACCGTCAGACGTGGAAAGTCTGCTGCAATCAGCTGATCGTTATACACAAGCTAAATTCAAATATTCACTGCCAGCATAGCAATTGATGTTATAAGTACTTCATGTTATAAATACTTCATGTTATAAGTATACTATAGATTTTTATAACTGGGAAACATACTATAATTAATTAAAATACATAGCTACGATAATACACGCATATATATTCAAGCACTTTTCCTGTATCTCTCTCTCTTTTCTTCTCTTTACGTCTCTTTCTCCCTCACTTGCACTCACGTACGAACAGGTAATGAGAAAAAAAAATTTTTAAAACACAATTAATCACTATCAATGATAAGTTTTGGAAGGAATACATAACCAAATCCACGTGTTTATCTCCAAAGTTTTATCAGTCACCAACCTATATATATATATGTCGTAAATGTAAATCAGTGTTGGAAATTAAGGCATAAGGATTCACGTATACGTAGGCAATGCGATGGATATGATTTGCGTTAACGTCAATCGTTGTGCATTGATTTATAACACAAATTAATGTTTACGACTCTGTCAGCAACGATAATATTTGCGTCCAGGTCTTAACACTTGTACACACAGCGAAGGCAATTCGTTGACTGAACGCACGATGGGTAATCGTGCCCAGACACACTGGCGTTTTCCTTCCTTCACTTACGCACATTGCAATCCTCCGTCTATCCGCATGAAGAGCTCGTACTTACATGTGTATCATCGTAGCTGTGTTTTCTGAAATTATTGCCAGTTACAAAAATCTTTAGTATAGATATAAACTATCGATTTCTACACTGGCAGTGAATATTGGAAGCTGATTAAATAACTGATAGGCTACTTCCTATATCCGACTTGTGATAGGTAAATTATTTTGCTAACAACTTAAAAAATAAGTTTAACAAAGTTTTGCAAGATAAAAAGTTGTCTTAGAATTTTGTCAGAATATTGTATAACGATAAAAGGTTGTTTTGATATATAATTCGTTCTACTTCACCACGAATGTTGCGGAGGCAAATCTGAAACACTTTACACACACACACACACACACACATATATATATATATATAATTCAGAATTACAGATATATATGAATTCCCCCGTTATGTTTCGAGTGAGACAGGTTTATCGCAGATCGAATTTTCATGTCTCGGTATCGATTAACTATTACACAATTTATTAATTTCTTTTACCAGAGACGTGAGTTTCACATAAAAAAATGAACTGCACTTACTGGTGCGATACAACATGCAAATTCTTCACTTTCCATCGCGAAAAAAAGGAATTCTTTTCTCTCGGGATTCGATATACTATACGATATACTATACTATACGTCAAATATACCAAAAATTGAGAGGATAGCCAATCGCAAGCATATAGCAGGTAAACCTCCGTAGAAAAAACAACTTTCGCATTTAAGAGGCGCAGTTTTCCCATCATACGATCTTCGATTCCGGCAAGAGGAAATGTCTCTCAACCCTCTCGAAGCAGAAATACTTATTTTCTTAGACCCCCTAATTGGCACTTGTTATGCAGCGAGGGAAGAATCGAAATTGTTGGGGACATGAAATGTAAATGAGGCGCTGTCAAATGCATTGTCACATGTCGCACGACGCAGCACGCATGATCGCTGGAGGGGTTTCGAATGCACCCCGTTCCTATTTTCCCTACGGTCGAGGTCGACCACCTACTCGAGCCTCAGTCAACCAGAGAACGGTGCAGTATTTCCGCGGCAAAAATGAAAATCACTTGGAATTATTATTACGGCATCATCTACAAATTATCCTCGCTCACCGGCATATGGCCGTATCTGGAACCGAGAGCGAGGTTGCTACGCGTCACTCTACTGTCCGCCACGTTGTTAACTATATTCGTTCCGCAGGTAAAAGTCGAGACGACGTAATCACCAAAAGCTTATCGCGAGAGATTCGTCGCATTTCCAGATGGCGCAACAGTTCACCTGCGAAAAGGATCTGCAGTGTATGTTCGAGTCGATGACGTCGCTCCTCATGACCTGTACGATTTTGGTGAAGGTGTACACGTTCCACCTAAACATTCCTAAAGTACGCTTCGCGACTTGGTGTATCGCCGTACTCGACCTCGATAAAATTGCATTTCAAGCGGAAAAAAATGCTGAATGATGAAATTATTATTAACTATCTTTGTATGATAATTATCATCTTTATATGATAATCGTAATTCGATTATGATTTTAATATGATAATTACACTGAGAGAAAAAAGTATCTATGAAATAAAATATATTTATTCGATGGGTGCTAATAACATTTTTGTTCAAAACATTAATTTTTACTTGAAAAATAGATTAGTATAAGCAAATACGTAATTTATTCTAGCGAATAAATATTATTCATTGTTTAGATATTTTTTCTCATGTATGATTGTTAATGAATATTATAATGAAGTAGTAATGAAATATTTACGCGCTCTCGCAAGGGTCGACTCGTTATTTCGTCCGATTGCTGGTAAAGTATGCCATCGATCGAGTCTTTTCCAGATCAAAATTTTCACCGAGCACCTGTTCAACGACTGGAAAGAACTGGAAACCGCCGAGGAGTACGAAGTCATGAAGTCGCACGCCGATTATTGCAGACGATTCTCTTTGATATACTCGGGTGAACATTCGATATTATCTATTTCGGCTCGCAGGGGGAACCTCGGTGTCTTTCCTCTCATAAAACGCGTCTGCATTTTGCAGTATATTGCTTCATGGCTGTGTGGGTGTTCATGTCGGTATCGATTGTGCCATCCATACTAGATATCATATGGCCCCTCAATGAATCCCGTCCCGTACTGATGCCGTATCCCGGATACTACTTTACGGATAATAGGGAATACTTCATTTACATTTTCGGGCATTCTCTCGTGGCCTGGGAGATAATTATGGCCGGCGTAGTCGCTCACGATTGCTTGTTTGTGACTTACATCGAGCACATTTGCAGCAAATTTGCGGTGGTCGGGTGAGATATCAATTCCGCGAAGACAAACCATATAATATACTTGCAGACTCTCCTCCGCATTTTTTGTAGATAGAACGGATTGAACATAAAAGTCTCGTTTTGCGATATTTGCAATAATAGATGTTAAATAAAGGAGATTATTTGGTTGTAGAATATTAGATTTGGTTTCCAGGTTTGAGCCGCGTGGATTCTTCTTTGTTTGATTCTTTTGTTTTGTTAAATTCTCCTTTCTTTGGAATCGAACAAAGAAGAATCCAACCCGGCTCAAACTCGGAAACTAAACCTAATATGCATGGTCACTGCGAAAGTCTAAAATATCAAATAAAGATTGCAGAATGATCACGCGCGATATGGTAGATGAGCTGTAATGGCGACATGTGTTATTATATGCTAATACATTAAGTAAAACTAAATAAAAAAGTTTATTATTTTGCAAATACCCATATAGATTTTTAGTTATTAATGCAATGAAATTGTTGCATACACTATCATAGTTAATTTCGCGACCGATTCAAAATAAACCTTGCAATATATAACAGTAGAGAACACCACTAGCTCACAGCTCATGTACCATATGGCATGTGATCATTCACCAATTTTCTTTAATTAATATAATTAGTTTAATTAATATCTCTAATTAAACTAATATTATTAAATTATATTAATTTAATTATTATCTCGAGATTTATTGCGAATATCGCAAAACGGTATGAGACTTTTTTGATCACTTCAATCCGTCTTACGTTTTTACAAATATTGTCGAGGAGAGTCTGAGACTCTAAAACAAAATGAAAATATATTTGGAATGTGGAAATTGCTTGCAGATTACGTTTTAAATATTTGTTCTGCGATCTTGGCAAAACTGTGGAAAACATAAATACTGATCCGGGCGATACGTATCGTAAGAAAGTCGCTCTCTTCGTGCACACTCATCACCAAGCTTTAAAGTAAGCAACAAAAGAAGTAATGCAACGCGTTCCCGTTTGAAAGCAATAAAATTGCAAAGAATGGGGCGACGAATGAAAGTATTTCTTTTTTATCTCTCATGTTTGTCGCAGGTTCGCGCAGATTCTCGAGAGAACCTTCACCGTGCCTTTCGCGCTACAACTGATCTTCGTCGTGTTGATAATGAGCAGTACCTTGCTACAAGTACGTATCTATTCGTCGTGACGTGAAATAACGCTCGGATTCGGCGGAAACGTAGAACATTGTACTTTTCGTGCTTGAGATCACGAAGGAGTCCGACCTGTTGGAAATAACGAGGTACGTGTTATACGTCATTGGGCAACTGATCCACTTGTTCTGCCTCAGCTTCGAGGGACAGAAGCTGATAGATCACAGCCTGCAGATGCGCGACAGAATGTGAGTCGATCGTTTTCCAATAAACGCTAACTAATAGTAACAGAGTACATAGTCAAACTTATAATTTCTCACTTTGCAATGTAACTATGTTATGTCCAACATGTGTTACGTCAGTTTTACATTACTGAGTGGGAAATTAATAACGTCGTGACTGTTGGTTAATGTTGGCTGAACTTCCACTATTCCGGAATTGACCTTTCAATTGGCCCATGTCCCCGAAATGTCACTTCCCAAGCTCGATTCGTGTGTTTCGCGGGCATTTTGCAGATACAACAGTTCCTGGTACGAGGCGCCCAACAAATCGCAGAAATTGCTCATACTGGTGATGATACAGAGCCTTCGGCCGACTTGCTTGAGCGCCGGCAAGATTTACATTTTCTCCTTGCAGAGCTTCACCACGGTAAAGTGAGAATTATCCGAGACGCTGTCTCGAAGCCTCATTAATATAACATGAGTTTTCTTCTTTTAAAAGATTCTACAAACTTCGATATCATACTTTACGGTACTTTCATCCTTTCAATAAGTCACAGTAGATGACACTGATATTCTGTGCGAAGTGATACACATGAATGTGAGTCGATCGTTTTCCAATAAACACTAACTAATAGTAACAGAGTACATAGTCAATCTTATAATTTCTCACTTTGCAATGTAACTATGTTATGTCCAACATGTGTTACGTCAGTTTTACATTACTGAGTAGGAAATTAATAACGTCGTGTCTTTAATTTTAATTGAAATAAAACATATCTTTATTGCTTTTTTTTTAACGACTGTTAATACGTACAAAAACGTTGTTTGCTTCTTGTCAAAGTTTGCTGCATCGTTTTCAAAGGTACACGAGTGGCTCGCGAATTCTCTTGAATGAGAATCACGTTCATTTATCCACTCCTATCTCCCTTTACCTGTCTCGCTGACATATGGAAAAAAAATAAGAGAAAATTTGGTGGTGAGAAGGATCTGTTTTCGTGGGAGTTCCAATCTAAATATTTCGCCCAAAGAGGAAGTCTCCAAGCTTCCAAGCTCGACTCGACTAGCAACAGAATATAATGATATACAATTCCTCATGGATGGTGTGGTATCATGATGAGTAGTTGAGAAGTAATAGAAAATGCTCGCTTCCACTTGATATCACGAAAAAAATGTTTATAAAGTAAAAACATTAATCGCTGACACGTACTTGTAATACCGGATATTTTTATTATTTTGATTTTCAAATGTAAATATATTCAAATTTTCCACATAGAATATATATTTCATATAGTGAAAATTTAAATATTCTTATTTAAAAACCAAAACAATAAGAATGTTTGGAAGCATCGGTACTGTCGGGGGAAATTCACTTAATTTATACTTATACTTCATACTTCACTTACTCGCACATTACATTTTACTTTTTGTTTAAAATATTCAAAACTGTATAAATTATATTAGGTGAAGTAAAAAGTTCTGAGCGTTTTTTCGCTTTATTTCGACGATGAAATTAACATAGTTAGGATTATCCGATTTCGATCAAATATGCGCCGTTTTGTTTGATAACTTTTGTCCATTTTGAAGGCAATTTTATAATTCCGCGATTGAAGAAGTCCTCGTCCCTATTGGTAAAAAACTTGACCAGCTCATTTTCACAAGCCTCTCTTGAGGCCAGTTTTGTACCATCAAGAAAATTTTGCAAATGCTTGAAAAGATGATAATCGCTTGGTGCCAAGTCTAGACTATACAGCGGGTGCAATAGAACCTCCCATCCAAGCTCTCGGAGCTTCTGGCGCGTTGTTAATGATGTGTGCGGCCTGGCGTTGTCTTGATGGAACACAACACTCTTCCTATTGGCCAATTCTGGCCGCTTCTGGTCGATCGCCTGCTTCAATCTGGTCAGTTGTTGACAGTAGAGGTCCGAATTGAGTGTTTGGCCCGATGGGAGCAGCTCATAGTGGATGATTCCTTTCCAATCCCACCAAACACACAGCAAAACCTTCTTGGCCGTTAATCCGGGCTTGGCGATCGTTTGGGCCGGCTCACCGCGATTGGACCACGATCTTTTTCGGCTGTTGTTCTCGTATGTGACCCATTTTTCATCACCAGTCACCATCCGCTTCAAAAATGGGTCGATTTCGTTACGTTTCAGCAAAGAATCGCAGGCATCAATTCGGTCCAAAAGGTTCTTTTGCGTCAATTCGTGTGGCACCCATACATCGAGCTTCTTCTTGAGACCAGCCTTATGCAAATGGTTCCAAACGGTTTTCTGGCTAATCTTCAGTTCCTGGGCAATGGAATAAGTGCTCACATGCCGGTCCGACTCGACGATTTCCATGATTTTATCGACATTTTCGACGATTGGCCTACCAGAGCGTGCCTCATCTTCGACGTCCATATTACCAGAACGGAATCGTTGGAACCACCGCTTTGCTGTTGCATTCGATACTGTATTGGGTCCATAAACGGCACAAATTTTTTTGGCCGCCTGCTCCGCCTTTTCACCTTGGTCGTAGTGGTACTGAAGAATGTATCGAATTTTCTCTTTTTTTACTTCCATTTTGGAACGCTGTAACACACAACTGGCTTGACCAAACACAAAACTGTCACAGAACTTTTTTTGAAGCGTAATGTCACCTTTAAATCGCCGTATAGTATGACCCGATGCGATGCATACATCGTGAGACATGGCTCACTAAAGACATCTAGCGGAAAACGCTCAGAACTTTTTTCTTCATCTAATATAAATAAAATTCATGTGTCTGACAACTATTATAAGTGTTTAAATTTTTTGAAAAACTATGAACTCCTTATTCTAACAAAAATTGCGTTTAGAGAATAATATCAGGATCTTGAATAAGTTCTCGCTGTTTTATAACAGATGACGTTACCAGAATTGCGTGTAGTTTAAGATGGTAACGCATCTATAAGGAAGTACTATAAGCAAGCTTAAAATTCAGTATATGTCATTTCGCCGAAGTGTAAACAATTTTTTTTTCATAGTGTTAAACATGTCGAATTTCGTGCCAAAAAGAGTATTTGCGGGGAATTTTACCGCACTACTTTATTAAAAAAAAATCTGCAGCTGAAGCACACAGAATTCTTGTTGAAACTTACCGCGACCATGCTCTGTCGGAAACAACATGCAGAGATTA